CCTCCCCACGCCTAAGGCAGTGGGGGGGCCGGTCTCACCTCAATCATATTCCCCAGACACTCCTCCTGGCCGTGCTGGCAATCAAACTGCCACTTCCCGCTGACGTTCTTCTCCTGCGAGGGAAACTGAGTCACGACACTCCTCCTCCCCCCCGTTCATCCCATATGCCCCACCCCCTCGGCCCTCGCACCCCTCCGCACTTGTCCCACCTCCTCACGTGCCACGCCTGCGCTCACTCTTCCCCCTGGTCCCACCGCCGCCAGGATCGGGGCCGCGGGCGGAGGGGAGAGCAGGCTGCGGGGACAGGACCCCGCTGCAGCGGGAGGCGCCGGTTCTTACCGCGGCGTTTCCGTAGGGCACCAGTGTGATGTTCATGATGTCCCGCAGCATCACCCAGGTGGGGAAGAGCTGGACGACCAGAAAGCCAGCACAGCCTGGACACAGGCTCTCGTAATACAGGCTCAGAGACACCGGGTTGGCTGCCGGGGCGCGGTGGTGGAGGTTGGGGCATTGCTTCTCCACCTGGGGGCAGAGGGAGACACGGGGGAGAGGAGGGAGCGGAGCGGTTAGGACAGGGGTCTCCAACCTTTTTAAGCACGCGATCACTTTTTCAGTTGACGTGCGATCCGGGATCTACCGCAAACCCACACACCTTGGCCCCGCCTCCTTCCCTGAGGCCCCGCCCCTGCTCACTCCGTCCTCCCTCCTCCCTCCTTTTCACCAGGCTGGGGTGCAGGCTCTGGTCTTGGGCTAAGGGATTTGGAGTGTGAGAGGGGCTCTGAGCTGAGCCTGGGGCAGGGAGTTGGGGTGCAGGAAGGGGTTCAGGGTACAGGCTCTGTAAGGGAGTTTGGGTCCAGGGGGCTCAGGAGTTTGGGATGCAGGAGGGGGGTGCATGACTGGGGCAGGGGTTCAGAGCTGGCTCCAGATGGACACTGCTTACCTGGGTGGTGGTGCAATGGGGCTAAGGTAGACTCATCCCTGCCCTGGCCCTGCACCGCTCTCCAAAGCAGCCAGCAAACTCCCTCCATCCCAAACCCTGTTGTGCACCCCCCGCCCCGTTCTATGGAAATAGAATACAGGGTAGGAGATGGGGCACCCTGACATCTGCGCCCCTCCTCTCCCTTCCCTGCCCAACAAGCACGGCTCCTGGGGAGGAACAGCTCCAGGGGAAAGGACAGGAGATGAGCAGCAGTTCAGGGAGGGGCAGCTGAAGTGCTGCTCTTGAGAGCCTCTTGGCCAAACCAGTCAGGATCACCTGTCAGAGGCTCCAAGATCTCCCAATCGATCCCGATCGACTGGTTGGTGACCACTAGGTTAGGACAAGCGGACCCAGGCCCGGACCGACGGTGCTGGCCCTGCCCCGAAGAGCAGCTGGGACTCAGACAAACGCCGTGGGGCTGCAGCTCCTGTTCACAGGGGGGAGGACATGCTGCAGGGGCACTTGGAGACTAACTCTGGCCCTGCCGCGAGGCCCCAGAGTGCTCCAGCAGCTGCTGGGCTCAACCTCTCTATGCAACAGCCAGGGGGCTGGGGGCAAAGTGAATTCCTCAGGAGCCCTGGGCAGACGGGACCGGCAGGGGGAGGGGACCAGGGTGCCACCTGGGGTCACGCTCCTGTTTAAGTAGAAGCCCACGGAGGATTTTGCATGCCTGGGTGCTGGTCTCCAGCCCAGACTGTCTGAACCGGAGGGGAAGGGAGCTGAGAGCCCTGCAGCCGCTTTCCAGGGAGCCGGGCCAGAAAGGAAGTGAAACAGGACGCTGGGACAGAGGCAGAAAAGCCTGACAGGCATCAGGCAGCCGCTGGGGCTTTCCAAGGGGATTTCCTCAATCCCTGTGGTTTAACAGAGCTCTGGTCGGCCAAGGGAGGCCACGCTCCACGCAGGGATGGGGGGGAGGGGTAAGACCCCCACGGCGGGAGCGCTCAGGGCTTTTCTCCTTCTGGCTCCCAGCAGCTCAGGCCCCTGGGCTGCCGCTGCTCCCAGATCCCATCGGCCCCAGGTCCGGCCTCTGCTCCATGGCCAGAATCCAGCCCTGCAACTGGGGTGTTGGGTTCCTGTCTCTGGGCCAGAGCCGGGGGGCCCATGGAGACAGGCTGAGGGGCTGTGGCTCTGTTGCCAAGCCAGGCCAGACCTGTGGGGTCCATGGGGACAGGCTGAGGGGCTGTGGTTCCCAGCCAGCTGGGCTGTGAGGTCCATGGGGGCAGGCTGAGGGGCTGTGGCTCAGT